CAAACTCAAATTCTTACACCAGTTTAGAGGTGTGCATAATTTCCGTGTTAGAGCCCAGAGTGACATCTCTTTCCCCAGGCCCAGTGTCCCCTCCGAGGGGGCGCAGCTGTGCTCCAGACCCAAGCAGCAGCAGTGGCCTGTGGTCAGCACCATGTGAATACTCTAGGCCCCCATCTGTCCTCTCTGCCGTCCCCTACCTGGTCAAGCACAAGGGCCCAGGCCACGCCCTTTCCCGGACACGTCTGCTTCCCCACCTGCACTTCCTGGGGGCTGCTCTGCGACTTTGAGAGGTTGTCCCAGCCCCAAACCCCAAATTAATGAACAGTGTTTAGGTAAGAGATTCATCATGTCTCCAAAGAGGTTGCCCAGAGTCTCTGGTCGGGCCAAGAGTCGTTCACAGACCATTAACCACCGATTGATCTCTGCTTTCCCCACACCAGTCCTGGGCCCGCCGCCGCCTGGCGCTCTCCTGCGCTCCCAAGCCTGGCCCTGGCCCGCGGAGCCTCTGTAAATATCTGCTCATTAGATGCAGCTCGGTTCACCTGCCTGCCCAGGGCCATCTGTCTCACCTGGACGGCAGAGGCACAGCCTGAGGCTTCCGGGCTGTTCTTCCCGAGGATGGAGGTCCAGGGGCCAGGGGAGGTGGGGCAGCTGCGGGAGGGAGGGGGGAGGAGCCAGCCCCAGGAGGGGAAGAGCCTTTCAGGGGAAGGAGAGGGACGGACACCTGACTCCTGCCCCCAGGGGTCAACGCTCCCAGGGAGTTTTTGTATCAGAAGGTTTTTTTTATAGTAAGACACACATCACAGTCTGCCATCTGCCATCCTGGCCCAGGTGTGCAGCTCGGCGGTGCCAGATCCAGATAATGCTGCACAGACACACCCACCGCCCATCTCCATGGAGCTTTTGTGTTATAAAACTGAAGCTCTGTGCCCATGAAAAATTAAACTCTGTACCCAGCCCTGGCAACCACCCTGCCACCTCCGGCTCTGCGATGTTGACCACTCGACGCATCTCCCAGAGGTGGGAGCCTGTGACTGGCTTCTTACAGTTAGCGGTAGCTCCCCCAGGCTCATCCATGTGGCCACAGGTGTCAGAATCCCGGCCCTTTTTAGGGCTGCGTGATATTCCAGTGTACATGCCACAGACTCCCGATCCCGTCGTCTGTGGATGGACACCTGGATAGCTTGCACCTTTCGATTTTTGTGAGTGATGTCGCTAGGAACATGGGTGTCCAGGTATCTCCGATGTCCCTGTTTCCTGGGTACATACCAAGGAGCGAATGATCCTATGGTGATTCTATTTTTAATTTTTAAAGAAGTAGTCACACTGTTTCCCGTAGCAGCTGCACCTCTCGGATTCCCACCAGAGGCATACAGGACTCTGATTTCTCCGCATCTTCGCCAACACTGGTCGCTTTCTCTTTTGCTATGATAGCCATCCCGATCCTATGGAGTGGCACCAGTTATGCCACTGTCATATGCAGCTTTGCCCTGCATTTCCCTGATGACCAGTGAGTGCCTTTTCACGAGTTCAGTGGGCACTTGTACTTCCTCTCTGGAGAAATGTCCATTCGAGTCTGGACTCATTTTGAGTCTCTCTTTGGTCGTGACTCTTCACACACCGGGAATGCCTTTGGGTGGACGGTGTCCCTGGTGCCTCCCACCTTAGCAGCCACGGAGAAGCCCCAGGACGAGAAGCATGACCGGGAGGGGCATGGGTGGGCCCGACCGGGCACTGTGCTGTGCCACCTGAAACTGCTCCGTGCAGAGCTGGCCACCATGGGGGGAGCCAGTGGCCAGAGGCCCCAGAGACAGGAAAGGCTGGGGGACCCCAGAGAGGCCTGCCAGGGAGCCTGCACCACGGGAGGATGCGCTTCGCCCGGCTGCTGTGGGCGCACCTGCTCAAGGCCAGTCCTGGCTGGAAGCCTTCCCTGTCTTTCTGCATCCGGTTCCCAGGTCCTCTTCCCTGGGCTCAGGTCAGACGGACTCTGAATCCCTGGTCCGAAGCCCGCCTGCCCTCCTTCACCCAGGGCCAGGCCTCCACAGGCTCTTTCTCTGGGCCCTCCTCCCCCCCCCCTTCCCTCCAGATGTCCTTCCCCCAGCTACCACCCTCTCCAGCTCCCCTCGGCTACCAAACCTCTGCTTCTTGGATACCGCAGCTATTTAAGGTGCATTTGAGGATGCAGTGGAATCAGGGCTTTGAAAAGCAACAAATAAGACTCCAAGAGAAGGAGCGAGAGAGGTAATCAGCTGGTGCTTTTGATCCTTGGACAGATTCATGTCACTGTGAGCGGCCCTGCTCCCGGCCTGGGCAGGGGCTGGGTACCACCTCAGCTGAGGGCAGCCATTGCCGCAGGAGAAGAAGATAAACAGTGAGTGAGGAGGCCTTCGCCTGGAGGCAGAGACTCCGGAGAGGACAGAGGACACCCAGGCTAGTTTACGCAGGGTCATGGTCTCGGTGATACTTGTCAGAATGCAATGCATCCTTGGGGGCCTGGAATCCCAGAGGCTCAGGAGGCTGAGGCAGGAGGATCACAGGTTTGAATCCAGCCTCAGCAACTTAGTGAGGCCCTAAGCAACACATCAAGACCCTGTCTCTAGATAAATCAGAAAAAGGGCCGAGGATGTGGCCCAGGGTTAAGCGCCCCGGGTTCACTCGCTGGTGGAAAAGCACAGCATCCATCTAGAAGGTACCTGGGCTACAAGGCACAGACCAGCTCAACCAACAAGAAGGACGCTGCTCACGTGACTTGAAGGGCAGGGGAGGCCAGATGCTGGGCCTGCAGATGCGAGGCTCCAGGAGGTCCTGCTGGGGATGAAGTTCCTTCCGTCTCTGCACACGGCTGGCTACCATGCTGCCTTGGGCTAAGGCCGACTGGCCTTGCAGTCCCAAGATGGAACCCCGAGCTTCCCGCCAGTTCCTCTATGTCACGGAATGCGTGTCCTTGGTCCTTACATTCTGTGTGGGTGGGCTTCCCCAGGACAGGTGCCTCCCCACGGGCCAGAAAAAGCCACCAAGATCATGCCAAGAGCTGACAGGGTCAGAACAGACAAAACTCGCCCCAGGAGCTGGGGGTGGGCGGAGCCTAGACCCCCCAGTGATGGTGTGGGGGAGGGGGACACGGTGGACATTATGGGCCACCCCAAAGCACCTGTCTTTTGCTCCAGGGCTGCACTCTAAGCCCCTGTAGCAGGCTTCGGAGCTTATCAGGGACACAGGAATCGAGGCCCCCTGAAGAGGGGGAAGGCAGACCCTGGGTCTGTGAAGCCTGGAGTGAACCTCACCTGAACCCAGCCCAGCTGGGAGCCCCACTGAAAATGCAGGCCCAGCCCCAGGGGTCAAGCTGGGGGTGAAGGCCAGCCCTGCCCCAAAGCCACCCAGCTGGGAAGAAATAAAGACCAAACACAGACCGCTTCCCAGACCTCCCTAAGGGCCCTCATGTGGTCCCAACAAGTGACAGGGTGACTCTGAGGCAGCAGCAGCCTCTGCGACCCTTTCACACCGATGGACAGTGGGAGTGGCCTGGCTGGGCCCCCCGGGGGCTGCGAGTGCCTCTTAGTTCCCAGCACTGGAGATCCGCAGGGGAGTGACCTCAAATCTGGAGTCACGCCATCTGGAGGCTCCATCGTCCCCAGCACTAGCAGCTGGATGACGCTGGGCGTCCCCGGGCCTCAGTTTCCCTGCTGTGAAGTGTATAATAAATGGAAGTCGGACTGGTGAGATATCCCAGGCAGACGAGACTGTGGAGGGTAAAGGACCTGGGAGCATTAGGCCTTGCTCTGGGGTCCCGGGGGCCCTGGCTGCCTGGCGTCAGGGCACAGCCCTCCCCACCCCCCTCTGCCTTCCAGCTCCCTCTCCTTCAAGGTCTAGCCCCCGGCCCCTTCCCTGACCGGCCTCCCAGGGACGGGCTGCCCCGCAGGGACACACTCCTGCCCTCTCTCTCTGTGGTCACCCACACATGCCCCGCTGGCGCGCTGCTGTACTGTGGTCCTGCGTGGCCAGAAAGACTTGGTATTTACTTCTGTCGCTTCTGATGGGCTCCCTTGTACATGGACTCACTTGTACATGGGCCGATGCGGGACCGGGCACTTCGTGCATCTTTCAGACTAAAGAAGTGGCTCAGAACGAGGAGCGAGATAAGCTGAAAAACCATCAGTCACTTAAGGGACAGCCCAGAAAGGCAAAATGACCTGCCCAGACTGACCCAGCTCCCGTGGAGAGGCCAGGAGCCAGGCAAGGCACCGTCCCTATGCTCCGGGAATTCACATGCTGGTGCGAGAGACCGACCGACCGCTGCCCGTGACCAACACCGAGTGGACAGGGCGCAAAGCTGTGGACCAAAGGGCGGGGTGTGGTGCTGGTGGGGCGCCAGCGAAGTGGAGGGGCGTGGCTGAGAACGGAGGGCGTGGTTTACACCGGAGGGGCGTGGTTTTGGCCGAGGGGCGTGGCTTGGACTGGAGGGGCGTGGTTTAGATCCCAGGACCAGGCTTCAGGTAGCAGATGGAGCCCGTGGAAGTGCAGGTAACCAGCTTGGGGAACAAGACGGGGGACGGAAGCCTGACCAGGGGGAGATCCATCCTGTTTGAAGAGCAGGGAGCTCGGTGGCTGGAGTGAGCCAAGGTCGAGGTGAGGGCCCGTCCCAGGGAGGAGCCCGGGTTTGTTCTGGGTGGTGGCAGCCTGCACATTCCTGAGCCACGGGGTGGGAAGGGGAGGAACGGAAGAATAAGATAGAGATGGAGGGAGAGAGTGGGAGGCCAGGGCACAGCGAGAGGAGCAGAGGGAGGACTCCAGAGAGCACCAGGGGCACAGCTGGGGAAGGGGCGGATGATCGGGGCCCACATCTCAGTGGACCCTGGCGTGACCCGCGGCCTGTGGGCTCTGGTGGTTTGATTTTGCAGGCTGTGCTCTTGGGAGTAGAGGGATTCCAAATCTCTCCCTGGCTCCTGTAAAGGGTCGGGTCACCACTCCTTTCTTCCATGGGTGGACACCAGGCCGGTTCCCCTGCTGGCTAACCACGGTAATTTGTGCTGCAGTTCAACGTTAAGAAATCCACGGAGCCGGTCCAGCCTCGCCCTCTTCTGAAGTTCCCAGACATCTATGGCCCCAGGCCTGCGGTGACGGCTCCGGAGGTCATCAACTACGCAGACTACACACTGGGGACCACAGAGGAGCCTGCTGCGCCTGCCAGTCCCCCTGCCCCCAGTGACAGTCGCCTCAAGAGGCAGGTCACGGAGGAGCTGTTCATCCTTCCTCAGAACGGTAGGGATCCCCAGCCCCGCTCTGTGGGCAGCGGGCAGTGGAGTCTGTCACCGGCTGCGTGGATGCTGGGCATGGCCTGCCTGTCCAAAAGCCCCAGTGTCACCGCACTTGACAGTGGGCACAGGGCCTCTGAGTTGGCCTTTGATTCCTGCTGAATGCCACCGTGCTATTTCCCCACAGCCTCCAGCTCTGTACCGGGAAACAGAGTGTCCCTTTCAAGTCACATGTGGGCAACTCTGGAGAGGGGATAAAGAATCACAGTTAAAACCACTGGCTTCAAAGTCATGGCTTGACTCCTCTGTCCTTTTCTATACTTGCTGTGTGGCGTTGATCATGCTGCTAACCTCTCTGGGCCTCAGTTTCCTCCTCTATGAAAATGAGATGATATTATTTTCTTCCTGTTAGGCTGTGGTCAAGTGTGAATATGATAATGCCCATCAGACGCTTTAATCAGGGCCTCTGCACAAAGACAGAGTCGAAACACCGTTTCTGTTCCTCTCTCTGTTCTCCTTTTCATTTGTCAACATCAAGAACACAACATCTGAAGGTGGCTATGGCTGTCACGGGCCCTGGGGTGACATATGAAGCAGAGGCCAGTCCCCATCCCAAGGGAGAGCAGAAGCTTTTTAGGGAGGAGAAGCTAAAACCAGGGGATGGCCGCGCACATGGCCTAGGTTTTGCTCTGTGAGGTCAGTGCGGGAGGTGGCGGAAGCGGAAGCAGCCTAGAGCCTTGGACACTGACCCCACCCTGATTCAACTGGACCCACACTGGCCAGTGGACAGGTGCCCCTTCCTGGCCCGCTCAGAAGCACAGTGAGGAACCAGCCAGGATCGGATCCCCACAGCGCCTGCAGTGTGGACAGGCTATCCTGGCTGGCCTAAGCCTCCAGGGGCTAAAAGCAGACCTGCTGCAGCCTTGAGACCTCAAGGTGGGGGCCGGAGAGATTTGCAGGAAGACTCTTGGGTGATGGGTGTAGTCATAGCCCCCTCTCCTGGGAGCCCCCGATTGCTCAAGGCTTGGACGAAGCCAGGACTGGACACTCTGCCCAGGAGAGAGGGAGGGCCAAGCCGGGCCTTGCTTTGCAGAATGCAGGATTCACTCATTCATTCTGCCTCCTCTCGGCTGCCCCCGCAGACACAGCTTAGTTATGTTGCACAAAAACCTACTGAGACTCTGCTGATTGGGCAGACAGTGACCAGAGGTGAAGGAGCGTAGCGAGGCCATCAGATCTTTCAGCCACTGTCCCATGATGTGCTGAGCGTATTGACTCCACCAGCCAGGCCACCCATCCCCCACTGTAGAGCCCAAAGACTCACTTCTCCTTGAAGCCGAGTACGCATCTCTAGGAGGTGCTGGCCCTGTGGTCCCTCCTGGTAGGGAGGGACAGTAGTAGAGTCACCTGCAGTTACTGCATCTGAACAGGACCCTGTCACCCTTGGTGGAGGCCGGTTCTGATGCCGAGGGCTGAGGCCGCCTGAGAGCTGAGAGTCCTGGGTGCTGCTCCTAAGGTGGATACCACTGTGAATGTCCCTGTGATGGCAGCCATGGGGGCCCTACCTACACCTGTGTCTCGCTTTACCTGTTGGTCACACCCTGGTCAGCGGCTCATCCCAGAAGCACTAGGGAAATTTCTTAGAACTTGCAGGAAACTAATAATGAGCCAATTGGGAGATCAGCAGACCTCTGCGGTTCTACCCTCTGAGTGAGTTCTGAGAACCAGAACTTAAACTCTGGTTTACTTAAAATAGAGTCTCCCAGAGCTACTGGGTCCTTTTAATTTTTGTATTATGTCTGGCTCATGAGAATCTTCCCATGTCAGGCTCCTGTTTAAGTAAGGGGCACGGAGAGCAACAGTTGTGGGTTTAGGATCCTCTAAATTAAAGATACGTTTCCCTCTTCACTCATCAAACGTTTATTGGACATGCATCAAAGTCAAACCCACCACCTCTACCCTGGCCCTGGCGTCTGTCTCCATCTGTGAGCTCCTGGGGACAAGGCACCGGGCTCTGTGGGAGGGGCGGAGCCAGCTGGGGGGTGGGCAGAGCCAGGTAGGCCAGGGCTGCTCAGCCTCCCACGCGGCCACCAGGCGCACAGGCTGTGCCACTTATCTTTACCGGAAGCTCACCATGGACCAGGCGGTGGGCTAAGAACGTCTCCTGCTTTATTCCATTTAATGTGCATAGTAACTCTAGGAAAGAGAAACCCTGACTGTCCCCATTATAAAGATGAGGAAACCGAGGTTCAGAGAAGTCCAGCACCTTGTCCAAGGTCACCTGGTTGTTCTGAAACAGCTCCTGTCTGACAGCAAAACCCACATCTCGGTTGCTGAACTATGACAGTCCCCTGAAATGCAAAGCCCAGGTCCGACCACCGGAGTGGCCTTGGTGCATTGAACTTTAGGAAGCTGCGGGTCCGGGTCTGTGGCTGCGGTGGCAGAGATGAGAAAGGAGTGGGGGAAGGATGCCGTGTGGGGCAGTGACGGCCCTGACTGTCCTGCAGGCGTGGTGGAGGACGTGTGCGTCATGGAGACCTGGAACCCAGAGAAGGCGGCCAGCTGGAACCAGGCCCCCAAGCTGCACTACTGCCTGGACTACGACCGGCGCAAGGCCGAGCTGCTGGTGACCCGCCTGGAAGGTACCCAGGGAGGGGTCCCGGGGAGCTCATGGGGGAGGAGGAGACCCAGGGCGGGCACAGCCTCACCCGGGGTGCGGCACTCGCCACTTCTGCTCAGGCCCCGCTGGTTGGCACCCAGGCAGGGGCCCAGCTCACGGCAGAGGAGCCCAGGACGCGGCCAGCCGCTGCCCAGGCAGGGACACGAGCTGGGGAATCGCTGTGTCTGCCCTAGGTGCCTTGGCAGGGCCCAGGGCTCGTGCTGGATGCAGAGGGTCTTCGGGGGGTGGGGAAAGTTCTGCACTTCAGGACCCAGCAGTGTCCCTGAGGGGCCACATGGGCTTGGTGACCCTCCCCCGAGAGTTTCCTTTGCCATCAGCAAACTCTACTAAGACTTTGCCAAGAAACCAGGGCTGTCAACGGGGCCAGATAAATGGGGCCTCTGTGATCGATTTCCTTTTTTCTGTTTATCTTTCTATCTCTGAGACTCAGCATCAAAGGAAGGAAGATTTACTTTGGCTCACGGTTTCAGAAGTGTCAGCTTGGCTCGCTGGGCCCTGTTGCCGGGGCCTGTGGCCAGGCAGAGCACCATAGCAGGGAGCACGTGGTGGCGACACGCCGTGACCATGGCAGGAAGGCAGCAAAGAGAGAGGAAGAGGCTGGGGTCTCAGTAGCCCCGTGAAGGGCACCCTCCCACGGCCTAGCTTCCTTCCCCTAGGCCCCCCTCCGAAAGGTCCCACCACCTCCCAGGAGCACTATCAGCTGGGGACCAACCTCCAACATCTGGTCTTTGGAGGACTTTTTAGTCTAAGCCATAACAGGTTGTTTTGTTTCTCCTGCTTGAGATCAAAGCCAAGGCCTCCCAGGTACTCAGAGAGCCCTGAGCTGTACCCTCAGCCCCTAGTTCCCTTTTTCTGAGCGAGTGTTTTTCCTCTTTGATGTCTTTTGGATTCTCAGCACTTTCGTGTACTTTAATACATCTGGTCTTCATGACAGTCCCGTTTCACAGGTTGGGAAACTGAGGTCGAGCAACTCCTATGATTTGTTCAGGAAAGTTCTGAGTAGCCAGCGGCAGAGGCAGGCCTAACCCTCCCTGAAAGCCCAGGATGAAGCTCCGTTAGGCTACGTCACCTTCGTTCTTCATGTTCTTATCCTGTGAAATCCATTTCCACTTTCCAATCTCTCATTAAAGAACCAGTTATCAGAGTACCACCAGGGGGCATTGGGGGGTAAATCCAACGATTATGCATTGAAAACATGTGCCGAGTGATTCACGGGAAGGCTGTAATTAGGATCTCAAGGGTTTTTCCCAAAGGCTGATGTGGTAGAGGCTTGTTCCCCAAGGCAGTGCTGAGGGAAGAATGGAGCATTTAGGAGGCGGGGCCTAGAGGGAGGCTTTTAGGTTATTGGGGGTAGGTTCTCAAAGGAAACTGTGGGACCCTGATACTTCCTCTTGGTCTTGTTAGCTCCCTGGCCGTGAGGTGACTCAGTTTCCTCAGCCACACGCTTCTGCCATGATATGCTTCCTCCCCACAGGCCTAAAAGCAATGGAGTCGTGGATTGGAACCTCTCAAACTGTGAGCCAGAATAAACCCTTTTTCTTGATAAGTTGACTACCTCAGGCATTTGTTATAGTAACGGAAAACTGACATGATCACGTTGTGCAATGCATTAGAAACACCAAGGTTCAAAACATAAAACATTCATGAGGCAGCAGCCAAGTGATTCACACCACAAGCGCTTCTGTGGTAAATATTTAAAGTACAGAACAAATGAATCACAGTATCAGCAGTAGCACTAATAAAGTCAGCCCTGGCGCCTTGGGGAAATCTCAGAATCTTGAGACCAGAAGGGCCCCAGGAAGTACTGACTCTTGTCACTCTTGTCACTGTTGTCCCAGGAAGGCTAGCGTATGCTGCTGTGGGCCTCCCCAGATGGCCTCCTCAGATGGCCTCCTTTTCTAAATATCTTGCTTCTGGGCAGGGCTGCAGTCTCCAGGGTGGTCAGCTCTGAGGTCTTTCGGACACCCAAGGTCATGGCCACTAATCTGGATTCCACAGCCCTCATTAGGGCCTTGCTGCCCCCTGCCCAGTCCCTGGTAAGTCCCAGGCCCAGGTTGCTTTGTCTTGCCTGCAGCTGTGACCAGTGACCACGACGGCGGCTGTGACTGCTACGTCCAAGGCAGTGTGGCCCACAGGACCGGCTCCGTGGAGGCCCAGACAGCGCTGAGGAAGCGGCAGCTGCTCACCACCTGGGAGGAGGGCCTGGTGCTGCCCCTGGCAGAGGAGGAGCTGCCCACAGCCATGCTGACGCTGACCCTCAGGACCTGCGACCGCTTCTCCCGCCACAGTGTGGCTGGGGAGCTCCGCCTGGGCCTGGACGGGGTGTCTGTGCCTCTGGGGGCCGCCCAGTGGGGCGAGCTGAAGACCTCGGCTAAGGTAGGGCCGCCTCGCAGTCGGACGGTGGCGCCGGTCGGTGGCGCCAGGAGGGCTGAGGGCTGAGCACTGGGCCGAGCTGATGGAACCAGCGGCAGAGACCTTCCAGGTCGGATCTTGAACAGGGCAGCCTGGGGCAGCCCGATGCCCAGGGCCCGCTGCTGCGGGGCTTCTCATTTGCCAGATAAAGACGCCCCTGACGTCCAGGAAAGAAAGCGCAGTGTCATCCCCATGGGAATCCAGTGACGTTTCTCGAGCACCTACTATGTGCCGGGCACCATGGGGAAAGGAACACAAAGGGAGGTGGGCAGACTGGCACAGACCCCTGACGATGACAAGGACAGGATCTCTGACATGTGTTGAATCCTGGGACATCTGGGAGGAGGCTAACCCCGGTGTCTGATGGAGAGTTCTGGAAGGGCTGTGTGAAGTGGTGTTGGTGCTGGGCTGAGAGGCCAGCGCCCTGCAGGGGGACTCCGGGAGAGGAGACCATCTTCCCCACAGGCCCGGGCAGCAGGGGTCAGGGCCGGGCAGGGCTGGGGAGCAGTGGAGGGAACTTAGGGCCAGTGTCAAGGTCCCCACCAGGGGTCTGCTGCACTGTGTAGAGGCTGTGAGGCCCGCGAGGCCCCAGAGGTCACCATCCGGTCTCCCTTGCGGGCTTGCTGCTGCGGTGCTGGACCTGGTCATCTGGCTGCTAGGTCTGAGCACCGCAGGGTCAGTGCGAGGCCCAGACTAGACCCGAGGTCCCCCTCTGACCTCCCAGACCAACCAACCGAGGGATAGGGAACTGCCCGGGTCATACAGCCAGGACACCAGCCAGGACCCAGCACAGCCCAGCCTCGAGCTCGGCCTTTCCAGCTGTCGGTCCTGCAACATCACCAGCCACGCAGGCCCCACAAGCACGAGGTGTGACCCGCAGGCGCCTTCCCTGACAGACACCTGACC